ATTTCATGTATTGCAAACATAAAGTTACCTCACACACATTTAATTTCCTTAACTATCCTGAAGTGAGCAGCAATAAAAATTGAGCAGAATAACATAAATACATTTTACTTCATTACATTCTGATCAGCTGATTATAACCTATAATATTTTAAAATCAGAACTATCGTAAAGTTAACATAACTTATAAAATGTAAATTAGTTAAATGTGATGAATATGTAGCATCATGGTGTGGTTGCGATTCGTATTAATGTGAAAAGACCTAAGATTTTGTGAAATATGATCTTGTAAACAAATACAAGCCCTTCTTTCTGTTCTACCAATTTTGGTGTTTTGGGAGATACATGTAAATTTATATACGCAGTTCGAGGTAACATGAAAGGGTCACCGATGGATCTTTAATTCCTGTAAACGACATTTTGTTTTGTCCAAGATCAGCTTGGATGGAGGATAAGTTATGGACAGTGTGCTTTTTAATCTTTTGTTTATTATCACTGCAACTTCGTCACCTTTGAATTTAAGTTAAATAAAAATAGGATTTTTTGTCTTTTGTGGTTTCTTTAGTCATTTTGTTCTCACTTTTCCATAGTTATTAATAAACTTCTGTGGATACCCATTGTTCCTCATACATTTTTTTAGGGTCGACTAGTTCTGCTTCCAATTTATTGACAGTACATATCATTTCAGTTCTGTCAAATAACGTTTTATTAAGTGGCCTCTTGTAGTTAATTAGACAAAGCCGTTAAAATTTGAACAAACACCATTCCATATATCTTTTTGATAAACTAAGCGTTGGATTGTACCATCCTCAATCCATTATATGGCTATATCGAGAAAGTTGAAATTCTTATTATTTTGATTTCTTATTGTCAACTGGATATTTTTATGATCGTCTATGAAAAGGTTTATTGTTGATCATTACATATAATCCCCATGGGGTGCTTATATGACAAATTTCAGTCAAAATATCAACAACCGGATGATCCAATCCATTTCGAATTGAATTATAACATCGATTTTTTGAAATCTATCCCAAAAATGACAAAGTTTAATCCAAAAACTAAAAAAAAACGAAGTGTCGTGACTTAATTGCCTAAATAATTTAAAGTCTCAGTAATGAGGTAAACAATAAAACAACATACATAACAAGTTTATGAAAATTCTCATATCGACATTTGCTAAATAAAGAAGGAACGAATCGAGCAAGTTTATGAAATCATAATTATCCTTTTCTGATCGACAAACATAAACTGAGTTAAGAGTAATAAAATTTTCCCTAAAAGCTATTTAAAAACAACAGTTTCCTAGTTTTACTTATATAACCAAAAGATGTTGGATGCCGAAATAAGTTGCGGTAAATATTAATCTTTTATAGTTAAGTTCTAGTAGATACGAAGTCATAACAACACGATTTAGTCATCATTGAAATATTTGTTGTTTGAAGTAAGTAGAATTGTAACTAAGTTGCTTTCATTTCCTTAAATATAGGACCCCTGTTTCATCCTTTTTCGGACTAGCCAGTTGTATTTGTTTTTCAGTGAACCCTGTTGTTTCATCTTATGCCTGAACCCAGCATTTATTTCATCAAATTAAAATTACATGATAAAAAAACATTTTACATTGTAGTTGAGTCTTATAAGTAAGTATTTGCAACCACACAATATAGTATACGCGATTAAAAGTGGTTATTCCATTGAACAGAATACTTTGACTACCTTACTGATACACTTACTCCTATTCATTGGGCTAATTTTATACTGACTATGTAATAAGCAAACCCAGTTTAAGGATATTTTTACTGCCGTAACGAAAGTTTATACCATAAACACACGAAAAACTATTATTTCCACAGGACTTCAATCCCATAAACAAATTTTAACAAGCCCACTTTTAAATTTTATAGTTAACGGAATTTTCATAGTAAAACAAATATTGAAAACCAGTGAGCGGTGGAAATTTTTTTCATTCAAGTTTGAGGCTCATCAGCATTGCTCATCCGTGGTCCTAACGAATATCAAACTCCAGAACCTTTAGGTCGCTTGGCAAGCGCTCAAATGTTAGACCACAAAACTAACATTCAGTGGTTTAATTGCTTAACTTCAATTAACTTGCGATATCGTACAAATTTATTTCAATGTCATTAGTGTATAATTACATCACACTCAACATGGTCGGACTCCACTGGTTGTGGATTCTCATCAAAAGACTTTTAAGCATTGACTATTTTGGTTAATCCCCGATTAATGATAAGTTTCACCCAAGTAAATCATCTACGATGAAAATAGGCTATCAGATCAATTCTCTCTTAATCAGCATCACAAAACGATTACCTAACTGAGATTAGTGGTATTTTATTGACTTAAATATGAATGCTAAGCTTTTTAAGTATTATTTACATAAGAATTAATTCTTAAAAAGCGAGAGGTTGAAATTATTCTTAAACATCATTTGTACAATTATTTACGTGTAGTCATACCAGTCACCATTTAGTATGAAACAATTGAGAGAAGTACATTTTTAATTCATTTACATAATGTTATTGATAATAAAAGCACGAATAAGAATGAGAAAACCTATGAATGATCCGGTTGATTTGACAAAACTTAGCTAACTAACACAGAGATAGAAGGTGGCAAACTGTACACTAAAATACAATGCGCATATATAACTCCTGAAATTGTTCCAGTTCTAAAGACTAGTCACGGACATTAAGGGGATGCAAATATTTGAATAATCCAAAAGGATCAATGAAAGTCTATTCGTTTACTGTACATCACTGAAGGAAATCTATCACAAAACAAACTAATGTGATATATCAGTATGGAGCCTTCGAGATTGTTTAATTCTATTGAGATCACGAAACGATCTAAGCTAAACAACCACTGAAACCTAAAACGCACTAGGTGGCCGTTTCTTATTGGTATGGGACTCTTCCATGGGGTGGCATCCACATCCCAGTCACTAGAGACCGAACTCAAAATCGGTCTCGCGAGTGGGCACTTAAATTCTAGAACACTGAACTAGGATTCATTTATGCACATTATGAATTATGCTTGATATAACCTTCATCACTGACTGATGATCAGTTGGAGAATGATCGAAATTAGGGAAGCATTCGATAACCGTGCCATCGTAGTTTAAGTTCTTATCAGTGTGAGAACTTATGAACATACGCAGAATCGAACCGAAGACCTTTAGATTTCATAATTAACACATCTTTAAACAAATGAGTTGGAACTTTATGTTTCACAATTTAATTTTTAATCAATCAGTAGTTCAGTATCACGCAAATTCGGTGTTACAAACGAGCTACCCTCCCGATTCCGACTTGACAGACATTAAAGTTTAGGCCGTAAGTAAATCTATTTTGAAGTCATTTATTAGTAAATATATGATTCATATCAATATCGATGGTTTCATGTGAAACTTCGATATAATTTGAAGGTGCTTAAAATATTATTTTTAGTTACTGCATACTAGGATTTTTAAACACTAGACAAAATGACCACTAATTTTTTGTAACAAGAATCATGTTACTGATAATCTCAACCAAATCCATCAGTAGTACATGACTGAATCGTAAATGGCTAGTATTCAAAATTTATCAGCCTAATTTAACTCTATTGTTATCTTAAAAACGATACGTTTCTTCCTTTTGTTTGTTAATCTCTTGATCGGTCTATTAATTACAGCCGATGCATCGAGCTCGTTCATTAACTAATTCGCTTATTGTCTATAGATGAAAGTAAAATATGATTGAACGTTGAACACGAACAAACAGGCAGTTAGCCTACTGACTATTAAAGATCTAATTTCCTTTCTTATTATTGATTTCTATTCCGGACACACTGAGAGTGACTGCTTGTAACTGTGTTGAACAAAGTATTATCTAGTGTTAATCCGGTTTTCTATTCTGGATCGTGAATCCTGGATCTAATATAACATGACGGTGAGACTATAATATATGGACGACCTTGGAGCGACGCTAAGGTGACCTAGAGAGTGTCTACCTAATAACTAGGACCAAATGAGCGTTATAAACCAGTGTGAGGAATTAGAATTATGATTTACATTTGATGGTTAAAATTAGGAATTAGATTTAGGGTTTTCATCACTAACTGAGGTTGACACTAATTACACGGCGGTTGTGATTCAACATGAATGACTAACTCATAAGTGGCACACAATCGGATCAATAAGGGAATAATTAATTCGTGCTAATCCCGTATAAAGTATATAACAACAGTTTGTGCGTCAGACATGAGTTTAAAATTAGGTTAAAATAAAAATACAGTCCCATTACTTAATAATTATGAAATAAAAATACAAATAATGATTTCCCATAGGATTTCAATATCAATGTTTGGCTAGATAGCTCCAAATAAATTGAGCATTGGATTGAAGGATAATAATAAATAGTTTTTATTGGTGATATCCCAATTAGCAGACATTTGTACTTCTGACGTTTTGTGAATGATATTTAGAGTTGTGTTAGTTTTGTTTCAGCTATTTACTTATTTACCCAGATGAATTGACTTACATTAAGTCACGAAACGTCAGAAATACAAATTTCTACTCATTAGGATATCACAAAAGGTACATTTAATTATTATATCTCTAGGATAGATTTGAATATTCAATTCAAAATTCTCTTCGAAATGAAAAAAACAACCATTATCTTAAATAATTAACAGCATCTACTTTTTGATAGAAGCAAAATTGCATCTAAACGATAGAGATTCGAACTTTGACCAGTAAATTATGAGTTTGAACCCGCTTCAAACTGAAAAACTTTGACTTATAACCTTGTACATATATTTGTATGCCTGTTTTATATATTTAAATATGAGGAAAGTCCCTATTTTTGATTAACTTCTCATCTAATATACAAATGAACAAATACATTGAAAAAGAAACATCTTTTATAAACACTAACTTATTTATTTTACAATCCTTTCCGTATAACTAATTGGTCAACTAATAAACTATTATTAATTTATAGGCTATGAATTTATTAAATAACTTAGGAAAATGTAAATATGAAAGAAGTCATCCTTATCTTGCTCATCATGAGCATCAACCTATCGATGTTCAAAATGAAAATAATAAAATGACATCAAGTCCTTTAGAAAAGTGGATTTGGGAAAATGGATGTAAAACTTTACAAAATTTTAATACTAAATCTGGTATTCTCAGTTTTAAATCATCATCAATTCATTCAAAATGTCCAACACTTGAACTTGATTTAAATTCGGCTAAACATTTAACAGAAGTTGATTTACTTTCTCAAGTAAGTACATTTATAGTATTTTGAATAAGATATTCATTTGTATATATTTTATAAGTTATGATATCAAGACTATAATTTATGGACGAACTAATCAGGTATAAGGTAACAGATCTTAGATTTTGGTGCAAAATTCACTCAACCATTTGGTTAAATAGAGTCTTGGCATTATAATTGATGTCCGTTAGTGATGAAAACCCTAAATCTAATTCCTAACCTTAACCATCAACTGTAAATCATAATTCGAATTCCTCACACTAATTTCTAACTCTCATTTGGTCTTAGTTATCAGGTGGACACTCTCAAGGTCAGTGTAACGTTGCTTAATGGTCATCCATAAATTATAGTTTCACCGTTATGATTTCCTTAAAATTTATGTTCATATTTGCTAACTTTTTTTGTATTCTTTAATTATTGAATAAGTATTTTTACAAATTAAGTTACATGTTCCTTTCGATGTAGTGGATACTAATTCATTATTCTAAAGATAATGAGTTTGACATGAGATTTGGAGGTCCTTTGTTCGAACCCTGATAAAAACATTTACGTAATCTATGATGATACGACTGTTCAGTGCTCCATAGTCTTCAAGATTTTCCACTGGTTAAAAGTGATGTATGCTGAAAATCAACTCGAAAAGGGTTTTTTTAAATTTAGGAGTGATGTTGAAACTGATCCCAATATCAAACAAATTCATTGTCATATCTGTAAACAAATTACTACCCCATTTCATTAAGCGTTGACTTAGTAGTTTAAATTTTAGGGTATGATATCCGTTCGGTTTGGGAACCGGATGAATGCTAGTCCTCATGTACTAAATGCGTAACTCAGAGATGAGGACTGAAACTTCTGTGTAAATGAGTTTCTATACATTTAGTATTCTGTAGGTTGCCAAATTTATCTCCAGATTGTTATGCCGAATGATCGCTCGAAGTTGATGCTGATTTGCACGCTTCCTATAGGCGAAACCAGTCTAATAATTAGGTGCGGAGACTAAGGTTGAATGGATATCTGTATTGTCAAATCAAGTATAAATACACATACAAACTCATTGGCTTATATATATCACACATATAGTTGAGGCGAATTTCGACCAATACAGTTCATCCATCAACATACCTCACCTATTATTGGCTTTACTCCAACGTATGCACGTAGGCATATGATGTTTCTGGATTGCCCCTTTCTATGACATATCTTTGAATTACATGGCTTCATTCAATAGGATTTTTTCTACTAACTTATATGAGTGGTTCTCAACATGACAGTAATATATTCTAATTTCGACAGTGTTAAGATTTCTGCGCTAAGTGATTAAATTGAGGAGCTTCATCTTCGTTCCAGAACGCATTATACGCTCATGAATTACTTAGGCGCTTAAGAAAATGAGCTATAGATCTCCTTCATTTAATCCCACTTGTTACTAAATGAATTAAATGAGCCCATTACTGACTCTCAGCCATTGATTTTAGCTATGGTATAACGTGATACTGATTTTCATCAAGCATATTAGTGAATAGTTCTTTCAAAAGAGTTCTACAATCATTCTAGATACTTATATTTTACAATGAAATTGTTTCAAATTGTAACGTTGCCTTTCATCATAGATAATGACAAATTTAAAGTAGTCCATGAAACCAATGTCCCTTCTCTTAACCATCTACCTTTTTCAAATCTAATGTAAGATGATGGAACAATCTATCATTTCTATTAACATCGTTTTTTTTTCTCTACCCCTTTCTCTCTCTCCTTTTCTTTTATATAAACACCAAACAATCCTATTCTAGGCAAATGTATTACAACAAATGATACATGTATATTCATATGAAATGTTAACAAATCAATTAGCACAAAATTTATTACGTATACATGGAATATGGTTTGAATTATACTCAGGTAGAGTACTAATATATAGTCGTTTAAATAGAGCATTTCTACCTATTACTGAAGAGACAATTACTTCATTACTTCATGAATTATAATGTAATTTCTTTATACAATCAATTTATTTTTTATTTATTTCATTATGATTGCTTCTTTATTCTTTCTTGTCTATCTCTTAAGAGATTTTTATACGATTGTATTTATCAAGATACCTCTTTGTTGTTGTTGTTGTTGTTGAAAGATTAAGTCATTTTTCCATTCATTTGCTTATTATTCAATCAAATATTTTGTTTTTCTAATTATTATTCATTTGGATGTATGTATATCTTCAACTTGGCATAGAATATCATTTTCAAAAATATTTATGGTAAATCTAGTCTATTATTTCTAAATGTATATCGAAATTTTGAAATATAACCAATGGTGATGAATCAGCTGACTCAGGGTCTAGAATATTTTATTGATATATTTTTATTTTATTTTTTTGGAACAATCTTCATGATTGAATGAAATTGAATCTCTATGTGAATTGATGATATTTAGATCATACAAATGGATATGACAACAAACTATTAGAAATAATGCATTTCAGGTCATCACTCCGTTTTAAGAAAATTTATTTTCCCTGTTTGAATTGAGTAAATGGAACTTTAAATGTTTATCTTCAATTCAATTATTCCAATTAGTGTTTTTTTTAATTAATGAATAATGTTTTATTGAAAGACTATTTAAAACACAATTATATGAATGAAGAATATGCTTTTCAATCATTTTTCATCAAGTTCTACAATGATCTCATATCCAAATTAATAATCCATAAAATCAGCTAGATTTAAAGCAGAGTACATCATTTGGAAATTGTAATATGTGAATCAAGGATTGTTTATCACACTAAATCGTCAATATTAGAGTTGACTTATATGAAGTGTTAACTTGAATCATTTTATAAGTGAAATGAAATTGATGTTAGATGAACAGGTTTTCAATGGTGATCTCAAGCAAAAATTTAATCATCTCCATAATCCTATACTGATATACAAGATAAATAATGGTCAGAACAAATATGGTGAGCATGGGGTGGGAGAGAGAGAGAATAATGTAATTACAAATCAGGAATTACATACTTTGTAGAATAATATGAATTAGGTCAGATACAGTAGGTAGGGGTGGATGCTGAATAAAGTTCTTAAAAAGGTTATCAAGTGTAATAATAATAATAAGGAGTATTTAGGTGATTTTTCAAATTCTTATGTGATAGAGTCTTCTTTTTTTCTTAGTTTTCTTCAAAATAAAAAAAATGATAACAGTGTAATAGATTCGATAAGGGAAAAGATTCTTTCTTTCACTATCAAGGTAGTAATAATAATAATGATCCTTCAATATGCTGTGCAAAACATTTATATTTATCTATGATTAATTGTTGTTCATTTGTATTTGAAATGTATATTGTAAATTAATTTGTTACAATGAATTGGAATTGTTTAATTTATTTCCATTGTATTTTTGAATGGAATAAATTTATTTGTAACAGAAAAAAGATTTAGATTTTTGATATGACTTCTTAATTGATTTCTGAAATCCCCTTCGCCATGGATATGTCTTGTCGACATCATCACTAATTGTTATGTCTGGTCGTCGATGATTGTTGTGTTGGAAACGTTTATCACTTATACTTGAAACGAGGGTATTTTGCAATTCTCCATGACACGAAAGTAAAGGATACAAAGACCGGTATAAGTAATGATTTATTAACCTAAAAACACGATGACGATGACGACAACCCTAGTCGAAAATACGTTCATTTACATATTGATTGTACACACATACTTTGATTAATAATTAGGATGAATTCACATATATGAAAAATACTCAGAGTTATAACGAATCACATACTGAGCATAGTTCATAGCCGTCGAATACAAAAATATTGTATGTTATAAAGAATAAAATATCATACGGGAAAGTGAAACCGATTACTACACTGAATAATCATCAAATTGAATCAAAAACGGAAGTAATGTTGAATAAAATTCATAGTGAGTAAATCAATCTAATTTTGACTTTTCTTTCCATCATGTCCAAAGGTTGAATTTTCCCGTTGTTATAATACACAAGGCTACAATTAAGCAGATTCTGTTACCATTTATGCATTCTAAGCGTATTATCTCAAATAGCATTTAGTCTCAAAGTTTGATTAATGTTAATTAGTGATTAAGAATGGAATTTAGAATGTATATTATTTTTTTCAATTTACTAACATACATAACCGTTACAAATAAAATTCATATCATTTCAACAAGCTAGTGACTAGTTGAACTCAATAGTTCAATGAATAATGCGTTAGCATTTGGACATGAACATTGGGATGTAGGTACATCTGATCGATAAGTTACAAATAGGATTAAATCCACGTTTTTGGACTTCATTGCCAGTCACTATTTAATGAAGTCGTTCAACTAAATAACAAAATCAAAGTAATCCACAGTTAGGGAATTCGAGATTGTTCATCGCTTGAAGAACTTACAGATAACTATAAAAGGATAGAGATTCATATTCTTAAGCTGTTAATGGTGTTATAATAGTCATCAAATTGTATGTTTCATTAAAATTTTTAATTTGATCAAGTGATTTCATAAGAACAATGACAGGAATATAGTTTTTTGAAAATTTACATGTTTAGTTATTCCGTACACTTAATGTTTATGTGTGTGTTTACTCAAAGTTAGTAGAATTACGGTTAGTTGATACAAACAAAATGGTAGATACAATTTTTCTTGTCTTTATATTATGATTATGCAGTGAGTGGGATTTTACAAAATATCAATGGAAAAGAACAGAGTAAATGAAAAGCATACATCACTCAACAACTTAAAGAACCCAGTCACTGTCTTAAGTAAATAGTTTAAAAGAAATACGCTGGCCAAACCACTTTACACTAATTAATTTACATGTGGGTGTTTTTGAGTCTTATTTTCAAATATAAACTTTAACTGTATTCTATCATCGTAATTAATTTGGTTTGATATCATAGAGAAAAGAATGCTTGAAAATATAGAACAATTTTTCGAAAGTTATTTAATAGCTTCTCTGACAATTGAATTTGCTCAATTTTTGGTAAAACTCAAAATATTTTACTTGCATAGTGATCCTAATTGAAAACTATTGAAAATTAAGTTACATTAGACACATGTTTTGTCGTAGTGTTGGACTGCTCGGAAATGCACACTATGACTGTTTTACAGATAGAATAGAGATTTAATCTTTAAACTATTGACCCAACATTCACTAGTTTACATATTTATGTCCAACCGGTTTGCGATATTGAGCAATTATGCTTTAATGCCACTACATACGAACTACTGGAAGGCTCTCAGCGGTCTAACCAACTAAGTGTTTGTCTTGAGACAGGTTCGAGCCCTGGGAGGGTGATGAGGGCACACTGTTGAAAGGCGCCGTATGTAAACGGGAAAGCTGTCTACTGCTTCCTGGATTCCAGTGATTATATGGGATCAGTATATGGTGTAAACTATGAAATTCAACAATCTCCACAAACCCCCATATATTAACGAATACTGGTATTTTATTAGAACGTTTTACTGCGTAGCATATTATTAATATTATTTTGTAGAAGCGTTAGTGTATCTCAAATGAAAAGTGATTTATTGTTTACGAAGTTGCTTGAAACCGTTGGTTTAATCTGTTTTGAATACAATAAACGAGCGTGTCCAGATTTATTGATAATAAATTAAAGGATTCATATATGTGATTTTGAGTTATGTGTGTCTAAAGACTGAAATAGAAATCAAATAATGGTTTCTAATGTTTATTTAGTTAATTTCAGTCTATAGTGAAAATTATCTCCCAAACAAAACATGTTTTTATATATCTAAATGAACCATACTACTCATTATTGGTCAGTAGAATGAATCATTATAGTTATATATTGATGCAGGTTGAATCATAAACGGTAACCATCAGCCGATTGCTTTTGATGTAATTCAGGACACAATTATCCAGAGTAATGAGGTTTCAAACTGTTTTCACACTATTTTATTTATTATCCTTGTCTCCTCTTACCCTCTATTTCTAGTCTATTTGACCATTTATTCTTATATATAAATGTTCTTAACAAGTATATGTGATCAAATTGTTCGAAATTTATTGCGCTAATATATCACATAGTTCTGATAATCTTCGCCTCATTATACTATAGAGACAATTAAGAGTGTTTATAGGGTTTCTCGAAGTTTCCCGTGTACTATATACTAGCCGACACAGTAAAATTATTCACATATTTATGATATGTGCAATCGGGGACAATCTTTTGTACGGATCTTTGAGGGAGTGTGTAAATTATAATCACCGAATCGTTGTTAGCAGGCGTTGTTTCGTGGACCCCATAACTGATTTTCACGTTAATAATGTTGACAGTTTGGTGACAATTAAGTAGGAATCTTTGGCTTTCTTTAGTCTCTAAAGGTAAAGTGAACTATAGACATTGGGAAGTTTTTTATCGCACCTTCGTTGATTTTAATAACAATAAATCAAACATAAACCTTTATAAATTTAGCAGTCATTTAAAAAGTGCATATGCATTCTAGACTCGTTTCACTGGCATTTTAACTGGCTAATGAAGGTCTGTGGAATCACTATTTACATTTAAACTCAGTAATATGAATAATCTTGAGACTATTTATATTTTCAGATGTTTTATCGTGACACCTATTCATCATCAAACAATATTATTAAGTCTAGCCAGTTACACTTTTTAAACGGACAGTGAGCTATGTTGCCCAACATAGCAGTACATTGTATTTATTAAGTCAAATTTGGGTGCAGATCATCATGAAACGGATTTTTTCAATATTACCTAGACCCCAACATAGTGAGTTAGGTAACCATTAGAATACGTATTATGATTCTTCCTTTGTTACATATACTCAATCAGTCAGTAGAGATGATGCATCAATCAAAATCCGGATTTATCCTTCTCTAAACCGAGTATACTAATCCGTCTCCAAACCAACTACATCACAAAACCAATAACGCGCCTAGCCTAACACCATCAACCTTGAAAAATGGCAAAATATAATTTTAG